AGTGATCCCACTTATGTGTCAGTGACTGTTATGGACATGGTGGGGGTAGGGCCAGGATTCGTGGGGGCGGGGGGGGGAGGAGGGGGAAGTGAGGGATTGAGGAGGAAGGGGGAGAGGTGATCGTACCACAGGGGTTTGCAATTCGGTCCCGAGAGTTATCTGTTCGCTGTCTAGCGTCCTTCACAGCAGTCAGCATGGTTGTGGTCGTGGCATGGGTTATGTCGAGTTTTGTGTCCCGTTCCCCTCTCCCTGTGTCATCCGTAGCACACCGCCGACTATGGCAGTAGTCTCCCTTCTTGTCCCCTATTGCCACGGAATCGCCCCGCTGCAGATACTTCCTTCCCTACCTTTCCACCGCCTGTTCCCCCTACTTCATGGTTCGGTGTTGGATTCGCCAAGCCTCCTTCTTTACCTCTCCTCCTGTTGCCGTGCCAGGGTAACCACCCACCCCTCTCACCTGGGGTCTGAGTTCAGGTGGTGGTGGTAGTGTTCCTCCTAGTAAGATGTTGGAAGTCAACGCCCTTAGATAGGGTTACCTATCACTCAATTTGCAGATACTTCCTTCCCCACCTTTTCGCCGCCTGTCCACCCTACGTCATAGTTCGGTGTTGGATTCCCCAACCCACCTTCTTTACCACTCCTCCTGTCGTCGTGCCAGGGTAAGCACCCACTCCCAGCAGCCCCCTTCGTGTCCCGTTGTCATATTATTCATATGTGTGGCCCCGTCACACGGTCTCCGCCTGTCATTACAGCAAGTTATCATATATCGGCGAGGTCAGAGTCCAACGGCTTCCTTCAGGACTTCTACCTTTCTTCCTCTCGTATTCACGTCTCCCGTCTTGCCGGATGCCCTGTTTACATGTATGCATCGATGCGCCTTCGAGTCCCTGCGCTACTGTCACGTTAGCTTCATCCGACAACAAGGTTGGTTGCGCAAGTCGTCAAATTTGAAAGTTCAGTGGAAGATGGTTTGTGACGCCCAACCTCACGCCCAGCACGACTTCCTGATCGAAGTGGGATGGGGACCTGGAAGTGCGAAAAGGGGTGTGCCAAGGATTTCAGGAAAGTGGGGGTGGAGTCCTTGGTCAGAACTGAGATCTCCGGTGGCAAGCTTAGGGGTAGTTGAGCAAGATGGTGGTCCTGAGTTATATTGGACTTCGGGAGACCAGGCTACCTCCGATATGAGTGTCGTCGTCGCGGTTGGTCCCATATCTGGTGGACCGGTGGGTTTCTATAGTTGTCGCGTTGTTCGAACAGCTGCCGACGCCACTCGACCTCGGCTTGGGTTCGTCGGCTGAATCCCGAAGCCCGATACGCCTGGTGCTGCCGGCACTCATCGCACGGTATGTGCCAATATCGAGCTATGGAATTCCACGGTACCACTGTGAGCTGATGGTATGGGAGGAGGAGATGGAAGGGAGGAAAGCTGGTAGCAATAACGACGAAGCCCGAAGATATGTAATATTGAGTGTTGTTAGTATCCGGGTAGTCCGGGCCCCGAGGATCATTAGTTATGGCCCAATGAAAGTCCCCCGCGCACAGTCGATCATTCTCCGCCAGGCAGGGGAATTCCGGGTTTCTCTAGTTTCCCCACCATCTGAGTTGTTCGCCCTCCCGGTATTCACGATGCTCTGGGTCCCTCAGGCTCTTACGATCGGTGATCCAAGAGGGGGTTCTTACAACCATATCCGATTAGTGAACTCGGTCTCCCGCATCCTCATAATGAGTTGGGGTCGAGGTTGACTCATGCAGACGCGCGCGTACGCTGCGACTAGGTTACCTCGAGATCACGGTCGTACGCGAGTGCCCACATGAGCGGAAGTTGTCAGGCTCGGGTTTCTCGCATCGTGTATCGGTTGTGTCCTCCCTGCATGCAACTAACCTACCCAGGTTATCTCGGGTGAGATCCAGCCATTACATTCTCATCCATGCCATTCACGTGACGAAGGAAAAAAGAAGAAGGGGGAGAAGGGGGTTGTCACAACATTCCCGGTGATCTGATGGTTAAAATCAGACGTTCGTAGCAAGTATTTTTGATGAGATCCGGGACTATTGCTCGACACAGATGGATACTAGAAAGTGACGAATTAACTAAACATGCATCATAGGACAAGAGGAGAGAGAAATCCGAAAAGGTCGCAAAAGAAAAGGGTTCACCTCCATTCCATACATACACACGAAGCGAACGACAAAGAAAATCTGACAAGATTTACAAAGAAAGTCCGAGAGGGCCGCAAAAATATCGGCCAAGGTAGAAACTCAAATTATACAGAGAAATTGAAGAAGAGACCTCATCCCTCACACAGCTGCTCGCTCTCTTTCTCTCTCTCTCTCTTCATTCCCCGATGCGGGCAGCCCGTCGCCACGCGTCAACACAGAGTTGTCACCCCGCTTGGTTCGAGCATGCAAGTCAAGTTTGCCCGTGCGCCACAGTCCGTCGCGGACCACACGTCAACCACGCATACCCGACACCAGCTCGTCGGATTGCCCAACTCTCTCGTCGACTCACCTCTTCCAGCTGACTCGTTAGCCGACCCTCACTGATCGCGCTAACTCCAAGGTTCATAGAGAGCAAACTAATCGCTCTTGCGAAATTTATAGCATGCATGGTTGCGCGAAAGATACGGGATTAAGCCCAAGTGGTCAGAAGGAGAAGAGAGGAAGTGTCTACGTCTCTATGACCAGGTCGCGGCGTTGGGGTCGTAGCCGCACTCCATGCATCGATCCGGTCATGCAGGGATTCAGGCCAATTAGAACGGAGCATTAAACATGCAAGACAAAGAAGAAGAAGGCGGGCAAACACGAGGAAATCAAGAAAGAAGAAAGATACAGTTACCATCACGCCCACCAAAAGCGACAATTGCAAAAGATTAAGGGCGTGATCCAGTCAGAGCCCAGTTCCCAGCGCAGCAAGATGCGAGCAAGCGTGGCGCAACAAAATTCAGAGTGCCTAAATTCCTAGCCTAAGTCCTAATTGCAAAAGGAAATTTCGAATAGCCCAAAAATAATTTCGCAAGCCAGTGGGGGCTTGACATCAGTCGAAAATTCAAAAACAAAAAACGATATTCCTGCGCAATGATCGCGCCAAAATTTCCTTGCGCTCACAACAGAACAAGAAAGAAGCCATGGCAACTGTTGGCCATCTCGCTCGTTAAGGTGCGGTTACCCAATTGTTGGCGCGGGACTTTCCTGACAGCGACCCGACAGATTTCCTCAGAAAACAGAAAGAAATGAGGGCATCCATGCAATTTGCCCGACCGACCCATCTTTCCACAGCTCCTCTATCCGACCCATCCATTTCCCCAAGGCAGCTTCGCGTAGGAAGTCGCGCGATTACAGAAGATCGTTAGTCACATATGTAACGCCCAGGGGGTTCCAATCTTGGGCAAGCTCCTGCTTGCTCTCTCTCATCAGGTGCCGATCTGTTGTCCGACACTTACCGTAGGATCTGAATGTGGAAGTCATCCAACGTGGCATGCGTGCGCTCAATCCAAAACGTTGCCCAGGAAAGTTAGTCTGATAACGGGCAGAGGAGGCGGTGGATGGACTTGGGGAAGGGGAGGTATGAAGCGGCGAATCTCCCTGTCACTGGTGGGGATCCGGGTATAGTGGACGGTGCGGCGGATGCGGGGGAATCGGGGATGCCCCTGTTGTTGAGGGAGGGATGCGAGATAGTCGGGGTAGAGGGTGGAGAGGGTGCGAGGGATAGCAGTGTGGAAGTTCTCGTAATTTTCACAGGCGGGAATTGTGCCCGAGAGAATGCAGTAAACTTTGATATGGTTAAATTCCCGCCAGGCCATACTGAAGAGAAGGACATGGAGAGGGAAGGAGGCAACGAAGGAATGGGTGGTAGCATGCGGGACGACGGTGACGATAAGGCGGGTGGCGTAAAAGTGGTGGAAGAGAGTGGGCGGGAAGGGGCACCATCCATCACGGAACTGGGGTCGACCCAGGAGTTGGTGAGGCATGAGGAAGTCAAGGGGACAGCGGGATAACGATCGGGGACGAAGCTCGATCGCTCGTATTTCCACGAAGGCGAAGAGTGGCTCAGGATGGCGGAGAAGACGGAGACAAGGATGCGATCCTTAGGCGGCGTCGGCTTCCTGATCCCTCCGCTGCGGCTCCATTGGATTCTTCGCGCGGTGGCTCCGGATTCAGCGAAGGATCGCCTAGCAGTAGCTATGGTGGTGGCCTTTCGGATTCTTTCAACAAGCCGCTTGCCCTCTGCTCTCTTCCGCCTCCGTTGTGCTTCGGTTTCCTCTTCCTCTTCGCTTCGCGGGGGACGGCCATTCGACTCTCCCGATCCACTTTTCTCTTCCTCTTCTTCTGACCCAATGTAGTCGGGGTCGTCCCGATCAGTGCCCAATTCTTCCTCCTCTGACTCCTCTTCTTCTTCTTCTTCTTCTTCTTCTTCTTCTTCTTCACTGGCTCCTAGCGCATTTCCTCGCCGGACAAAAGGGTCCCACAGTGTGAGATCGGGGACATCAATGTCGAGATAGAGGCTCGGGGACGGGTAAAAGCAGTTATCTCCATCCAGCTCTGTACACGTGGACCACAATAGCTGCGGCACAAGCGTCCGAGTGAGCACGTTTGTCTCCGGCTTCCCGTCACATCTTCACAAGATACGAGGGGCAAATCATCCACCAACTGCGCCAAAAACACCAACAAATCATCCGTGATTGCGTCCAGGTGACTTTCCTCCACCTTAACGAACAGTATCCCCAACAATTCTCCCTTCATACTCGTCCGCCAAGCCTGCACGATCAACAGTTCCACCTCGTCGTCCTGGACCTCACCCCCTTCAGCTTCTGGTGCTGGCTCCGCCCAATGAAACACCACGCATGCCAAACAAAAATTGAGCTCTACGTAGGCGTCCCACCACTTGGTCCAGTTGTCTTCATCCAAGATTGGTACGCTAAGCTCCCGGATTCGGAAAGAGAGGGCAGTATCGATAGCAGATTGCCAGAGAGTGGGGAGATCGGACGGGAGGTTGAAGAGGGAGAGACGATGACGGTTCATTGGGGCTGCTCAAAGGGGAGGAGCTCCAAGAGAAGGATCTCCGGTGCGCTGCTGGAGGTGCGGAGTCGGAGGTCTATATCGTTCGTGGTCATAATCCTTTCCCCCTGCCGAGCCAACAACTTGACCCACGTGGCCGTGATCTCCTTGGCCTAACCCCGCAACTGTCGATAGATGTCCGCAAATCGCCAGGTGTAGCGTCGTGATATCACCCGTGAAAGTGACGATGACGGATACGTGGCTGACGCCGGGAGAGGACAAGCGTTGGAAAGCCGAGATCTCGGCCAGTACACGTGTCGCCCTTGCATGTACGAAGCGGAACTCTGCTGCGTGGATGGCTGTTGTGTTGAAGAAGGTTGCAAATCGAAGGAGATCGGGACTCAACCGAGGTCGCTGCACCTGCCGAATCGTCGCTATACGCCCCCTCGGGGTCATTAAACACTCATTGATCACTTGCTCTGTCGAAAAACTTATGGCGATGGAGGCGGGGTCGAAGACGATGGTTGGGAGAGAAAAGAGGATTCCAGAGAGTCGTCGTCCTCTTCCTGACCGAGGGACGATGTAGATGATGGAGGAGAAGGGGAGGAGAGGACGAAGGTAGGACACGCGTCGAATGATCGGATGAGCCGATCGACTTCCCGACAACTCTAGCGCAAGCCGCACCGTGTTCACCCCACTGCGACCGAGCTCGATCACGAGAAATCGCCCGAAGAATCGTGGCGCTAGCTTGCCTTGGCGAGCATATTTCCTCACCTGCATGATGTCCTCTAATTTATATTGGGGCCGAGGCCCAGCGTTCCCATTTCGGGCCTCATAACTCCGGACCTGTTTCCCATGGGCTATTTGTGTCATTCGCTGTCTTTTTCGGGTCAGTCGGGGGAGGACCTTTTCCATCAGTTCTAGGTGGCGCTGGGCCTTATCCTTAATCGTCGCCCTAGTGGTCCGTCGCGGAAGGGTCGTCTCATCATTTAAGCTCAGTAGGGTTACACAGGGTAGGCTATTGGTCCGTAGTTGGAAGGGGGTCAAGCCCGTGGATTCGTGGGGTGTCCCCCGATGAATAACCAGGATATGGTCCACGATATCAGGCCAAGGCCTCGTGTCATTTGCCCCGATATTGCGTCGCAAAGCGGTCTTAATCACTCGATTGGCATTCTCCACTAGTCCGTTGGATTGCCACATGTGGGGAGCGGTATTACGCATAGAGACACCGTGTAAGACTAGATTCCTTAAGACTTCTCCCCTAAATTTTGCCCCATTGTCCGTCAGAATCTCCTCGGTGTCCTGGTGTATCCCAAGGAAATGGTTGTTGTATCGCACGATTTCGGCTGCCTGTCTCGTCTTACATGGATACCCCTCGATCCACTTCGAAAAGTCATTTACGAATACCAACAGAATGGAATACTCACCGCTATTCGGTCCAGGGGGCACGGGAATATCGGTGGTATCCATGCTAACCCTCTGAAATGGCTGCTCGACTACAGTAGGGGCTGAGTAGGCACTACCGACCTAGGCGGCGCCTTGTCAGCAGCGCAGACCTGGCAATTTCGGATGATGAATTTAACATCGTCGCGAATATTGGACCAATACCACTCATTTTTATCAATCGCCGCCTCTGTGATTCGGACGGCGAAATGGGCCGCAGTTTCCTCATGGGATGACTTAACCCAGTCGTACCTTACGAACGGATGTGGAACAGACATCCAAATCCCGCTTCCATCCGTCTTCCGTTTTTCTAACCGTCCCTCATTCCATCGGTAATCCCGAGCTCTCTTATTGGCCCGTCTCCGATCCTCCCTTGTGAAGCCTCGGAGGGGGTTCCCAACTACTGTAGCTATCAAAACGACATTTGTCCATACTTCGGCCCTTCTAAACCGGCGGATTTTTTCTAGACCCTCTGAGTCGGACGTGACTTCGAGGAATCGAGCCTCCGTCGGGATCTTATTCGTGCGACACAGAGGACATAACCAAGGTTTGTCTGCATTCTGGTATTGTATACAGGAGCCATGGGCTCGGGCCACACATCGTTGACATTCTACCCACTCGGCATAGCCTTCCCCGCTTGGTCGCATAGGGACCGAATAAACCATCGAAATTGCCTCGCAAAAATAGCAAAATTTGTAAGGGAGGGAGGGAAAAAACGAAGATGAGAGAGGAGAAAGGGGAGCCCCAGAGTTACCTCCGTCACCCATCGCCACGTGCTATTCTTGTTGTGAGGAAGGACTGCCACCTGTCGGTACCCTGGCCCGCTGACCGGTTTCGGTTCTCTCCACGGAGTAATCTCCTCGCCTTTAGCCACCTTTGCCTGGCAGTGCAGTCGTGTCAATCCGTCCGCGTTCCCGTGCCTCTCCGTCTTCCGATGGACGATGTCGAAATCGTACTCTTGCAGCCGTACTGCCCAGCGTCCAACCATGCCCGTGTAATTAGTGAGCCTCTTGAGAGCCAACAGGGACTCGTGGTCCGTGACGAGGAGAAACGTTTGCCCGTACAGATACGGATGGAAGTGTTGAATTCCCTAAACCACTGCGTAGCATTCTCCTTGCGGAGCCGAATCGTTCTTCCTTTCGTCCGGAACGGTACGGGACGCGTACTCGATGACGTGTTCGCGACCGTAGTTCCCCTTCTGCGCTAGGATAGCGCAGATTGCCTCAGGTTGTCAATCTGTGATGAGTATGAATTGCTTTGTCGGGGCCAACTGAATCAAAATAGGTGTCGTAGCTAGGGCTTCCTTTCGAGTGTCGAAGGCCCGTTCGCATGCCGCGTTCCAGCTGAGGGGTTGGTCCTTTCACAGCAAGTTCGTTAGGGGTTGTGCAATAGCGGCGAAACCTTTCATAAATCGACGATAGTACGAGGCCAGCCTCAGGAAAGCTCGAACTTGCGTCCGCGGTGTGAGAGTCGGGGCGTCTCGAACGGCCGCGACTTTTCTCGAATCGGGCCTTAAGCCTCCCCGAGTTACCACGTAGCCCAAGAGTGAGATCTCAGAAAGAAATAACTCTTTTTTTTTCAGCGCAATCTTGAATTCGGCGTCTCGTAAGGCTCCCAGCGTCCACTCGATATGTTGTGCATGCACGTGGAACGACTCTGAGTAGACCGAGATATCGTCCATATACACAATGACGTAGAAATTAATCATCCCTTGAGTCAGTCGGGTCTTGTTGACGAGATTTTGAAATGTTACGTTCATCGCTCTTTGAAAAGTAATCGGCGCGTTGCAGATTCCCATTGGGCATCGAACCCACTACCTGGTGCCTTCGAACAGGACGAAGGCCGTCTTGGGCCGGTCCTCCTCCTTAACCAGGATGTGATGGAATCCGTGACGAATATCAAACTTACTAAAATAATTAGCACACCCAATCGCATCCAACAAATCGTCAATCCGGGGGAGGGGATACACATCCTTAATCGTGATGTCATTCAGCTTGCGATAATCGATGCAAATGCAAACCGGCCCATTTTTCTTCGGTACTAAGACTACGAGGAATGACCACGGTGTAGTGGCTGGTTCAATCCATCAGTTAGCTTCAAATTCCCTAATCCTTTGTAAGGTTGTTTTTCGTTCTGCGAGGGAATATTTGTACGGTTTGCAGTGGATCGGAGGATGATTTCCGGTCTAGATCTCATGTTGGATGACTAGCGATAGTCCGATGTCCGTGTATGTCAGACTAATCGCTCCCTGGTATTCCTTTAGAATTTCTGCAATTAGATGGTGAATCTCGTCGGGTACGTAATGTAACAGCCATTTCGTCAAAACGGACATATTATATTTTTTGAACGAAATCAAAACTGACTTTTTTTGCCAAAATCCGGTCGGAATTTTTTTGCTCCAGGGAGTCAGGCGTTCCCAAAACGCCAGACCCCCTACATGTATCTGGTTTGTGGTCGAGACCAGATTAAAAAAAAATAAAAAAAATAAAAAAAATAAATAAATAAATAAATAAAATAAAAAAATTTGTATCTGGTCTCAACCGTAGACCAGATACATGTAGGGGGTCCGGCGTTTTGGGAACGTCGGACCCCCTGGAGCAAAAAAATTTCGACCGGATTTTGGCAAAAAAAATCAGTTTTGATTTCGTTCAAAAAATATAATATGTCCGTTTTGACGAAATGGTTGTTATGTGGCACATGCAATTCGTAGGATTGGCCTAGTATTTGAATGGCAATCTGTTTCGTGTTGATTCCATCAGCGTTTTCGAAAGGGGGCGCGGAGATGAATGAATTGTCCGATCCCCAGGAGAACACCGTGGCCATCATTTGGGCATCTTCCTCTCGGATCGCCACGTGTTCCTCCAAGGTTACACTGTCGCAGACATCCTACCATCGTACGGGTTTTTCGCGATCCTGATCCTGAGATTATGGGGTCTTGTGTCGCGACGCACAGGGGGTTCGAAAGCCTCAGCCTCGACCCCTAATCTCAGTTGTCTGATCTTTTTCCCGGGAGATAACAGAGAACGGGGTAGCTCCGTAATATCACAAAAAGCTTCCTTATCCCTGTATCTCGCAAGAAGTGGAGTGGTGCCCTCGTACAAGGTCCGAGGGGGTTCCAAAGAGTCGGTCATCCAGGAAATCTGCACAAGTGGTTCACCTAAAATTAATGCGCGTGTTCTCTGGATGTTCCCTTCCGTGAGATTGAACATTTTGAATTCGTGGTTGTTTGTTGGATCGGATAGCGGATGCGCTCCTGCACTAAATCTCGAATCACTAAATCATTTTCATCGCTACCATCAGTGTCGCTCGAGAGTTTTGGCTCCTCTGTCCGGCGATCGCTGTGTTCCACAAGTTTCTTCCAGGTGATCATCTGGAGAGCTCCTCCATGTGTCGGGGAAGTTCTCTGGGTGACTTTTGCCATAGTTATGAGAGTCAATCTCATAGGGATGGCGTATGGTTTTCCTCCCGTATTCCGGAGGACAATCGATCGCCTTTCAAAATCTAGGTTGGCCCGCAGAGCTGTGAGAGCGGCCGGTCCCAAAAGAATGTCGTTCATGCTTACATTCAACACCACGACATCCTCCAGAGCATGTATCCTTCCCAATCGAAAAGCAACGTTGGTCATTCGTCCTACTATCTTGATTTTCTCTTCATCTGCGGAGACGAGATGATCCTTTTTTGTTAGCATGATCAGATCTTTTCCTCTTCCCGCTCTTTCTACTACTCTTAGTGAAATAGCCAAGCCGGCGGCTCCTGAGTCAATAATGGCATTGTACGGGACTCCCCAAACCTCGATGTCACATTCAGCGGATTTCCACGGGATCGCTTTGATCCGCAGAAAGTGATCATCTTTTTGTATTAATCTCAGACGTATGGGATCCGACGTACTGGCGGGCTCAGACTGTCCTTATGGATAGGGGGGTTTCCTTTCGTGTTCGTTGTTCTAGCAAGGGTGAACCATTTTCTGTTCGCCTTGCAGTGTTGCAACATGCGCTCGTTAGCCTGTTCCGAGATGGAGAACACGTGTCCAATCGGGAGGGGAATGTGATGGTCCAGGGCGCGAACGATATTTAGGACGTCTATTTCCCCAGTGACAAAGGTGGGCCCTCCAGACTCCATCTCCCTTGGACAGGGTCTCCATTCCGTCATCTCTCGTTGTTCATTTGCGGTTCTGATAGTCCCGATCATTCCTAACCCCGGATATCCTAATGCCCCGTACTGGTACAAAGGAATAAGTTTTGCCGCTTCTCTAGTAGTAGCTAGTCCACGCCCACCTCCTTCCATTTCTTCCAACATCGTTCCTACTATACCTGGCCCATTAGCGATTGGTGTCGCGGCCACAGGTGCGCCCCCGATTCGGGCCTGCGCGGGCCGGTGGGGACAATCTCGGGCTATGTGTCCTGGTTGGTGACACGTGTAGCAGACATTCGGGTTGCCTGTTGCCCCGCCTGTCACCGGGATCGGGGTCAATCCGGGCAGTATCGGCGCGGTTCTTACGGCAATGGGACGCATCGACCTCATTAACGACTATATCCTAGCGTTATGCTCGAGCTGCTCCTTTTTGCTTTCCTGTATCAAAGTAACTAACATTTTCGTCAGTTCTAGTAACGCAGTCAATTCGCTCGGTTGTGTAGGACTTTCGGACAAAGACGGGGGAGCAGTCATCACAGGAACAGGTACCCCTGTGATTGTACCGAGAGTCGATCATTTAGGGACGATTTGCTCTAGATAAGTAATAGGACCCGACACAAATCCCATGTTTTCGAATTTGTTTTGTAGTGCGGCGAACTCTGCCTTTTCTCTAGCTAACTCAGAGGAATCTCCCTCCCTAGGATAATCTTCTCCTTTCATGAAGCTCGCAGCGAATTTCCGTTCCATCTCTTCTGCGGCGGTCATGATTTGTTGTAGTGTGTGGTTAATGGGGGAGAACTGCTTTCGCAGTTTCGCCCTCATTGTCCTACTGCGGAACCCGTCGATAAACAAGTCTCTCCCTACCTGTTCTCCCCGCTAAGTTTTGACAAACATTCGGTAAAATCGATTGCAATACTCAGTGACGGATTCAAGTGGCTTTTGAACTCGATCCTTGATCATAAAAAGGGCTTGTTCTGGATGAATATA